ACTCGTTGCTTTTCATTCGCTAACTTGCCCTCAATAAGCACTGTGAGGTTTAAGTTTTCAAAGCCCTTCTTTCTCATTGTGTCTAAAGATTTTCAGCCGTCCCTTCCTGATTCTCAGCTTGTGTTGTCTTTTTTTTCGCCATTTTTTAAAAGAATTTCCGTTCATAAAGATTCCGTTCATGGAATTCTTATTATCCGACTGTATAACGATATTTCCGTTACCTCCAGTTTTCTCCGTGGCCAGGTTTCCCAGCATTCACTGCCATATAAGAGAATGGGTAACACAGCTTTCCAGCAGGTTCTTTGATTTTAAAGAATTTATTTCTGTTTTTCATTATTTTGCTTAGCTTTTGGAATGCATCTTTCGCTAATCCGATGAGTGTTCGGATTTCAATTACGTATTTTCCATTCACTGTTAAAATATTATCAGATACTTAAACTTGTGTACTTGCTTACTAATGACATTTCCAATTTGTAACTCGCATCTTCGGATTTTCTCTTTATGATTATCGTATTTTATCTCTTCTTGCCGTTGGTGGTCAGTCCGTTTTTCTAGCTTTATTTTATTGCATTCTCTAGGAATTCCAGTAATGTCCTTTCCGTATGAGCAATCAGGATAGTTTTATCTGTCTATCACATACTATTAAGATTACCCCCACCGATAATAAATCCTAGTAGCATCTCCAGTTCCCTTATGGTAGCCTCGATGTAGATGTCGAAAAAATCTTGGACGAAGACACTCCCTTGCATTCCGCCATTTTCTGTTTCCGTGTAACTACTCAGTTCATTTGTTATCCTTATGCAAGCAGTTTTCTCCAAATATAAGTTCCGGAATATTATAACATCTTTAGCCAAATGGATCTTATTTTTCTAGCTGTCCAAGGAGATATTTCTGCGGCACCATGTCAGATGCTCTCTAAACATAATCCTTCTGTATTTAAATTGCGTTCTCTGAGATCATTCTAATCATGAATATTGCATTTTACTTCCAGTGTCCTTGATAAAGCCACACTGTTCTTGTTTTATTTCCGTTTTAAATCAGCATTCTCACCTCTCTTCATCAGGATTCGCGTCATTGGTTTGGTTATATCGTTCATTAAACTAATTTTCCGATGGAGTTCGCATTTATTTACACCTGGTTTATTAGGTTATGATATGAATATGCATTTACTGAGGGCTTCTGGTATTTCACTACTGTTGTATATTTCGTTTTATTATTTCTGTGATCTTATCGACACTGAAATTATCTAAAGCCGAGAACGTTTCTTTTACGATCCCATCAGGTATTCCTGCTTTGTTTCTGTTCATCGTATCGAGTGTGGATCTTATTTCAGATACTTTCTTACTTTCAGATTTCTGGGTCTTCTCCATTTTAAATGGAGGAAAATGTTCTCGATGCACTTTTGGATTTTTTTTCTTTCTCTGTTATTACTGACCGTTCCTTTGATTGTATAGTGCCTATTGATTTTCTCACTGTTCGTCCTGTTAATTATGTTATTTTCTTGTACACACTTGCCGAATTTTGTTGCTCATCTTTTCTGTTTTGTGTTTAGTTTGGCTACTCTTTTGTATTCCTTTGCTTTGTTTGTTATCGCTTTTTCTTCATCTCCGTCATCCACCGTTCCTTTCTTGTCTAATTTTCCTTGCCATGATCTAGTTCACCGATGACACAACTGTTTCTTTCAAAACGTTCCACTTTGTTTTTATAGTCTTGTTCAGTTTATATTCGTATATAACAGTGTTTTTATATGACTCTTAACAAATTGGGTTCTTCCAAGAGTCTGGCAGATTACACGCCAGCTTTTAGATTAAATTATATCCTTACTGTATGTTTTATTATTGTACTCTTGTACAGATTAATAATTGTATAGTCAATAATCACATGACATTAGTTACAATTCAAAAAGCTCTTGAGCTGGAAATTCATCCCAATTCTGGTAATATGCAATTTTGTACTGTTTTTCTTAAAATCGATATTCTTATCATTTCGAAATGAATGAATCTTAAATAATGTAGCGTTAGGCATTAAAATATAATATCTTATGTATTTAATATTACATTGCCAGTGAAAACGATTTTTGTATAATTCCTTCAATGAAGAATTGCCATTATTAATTTTCTGATAGATTTATTTTCTTAATATATTAAACAAGTTTAATATTTCGCACTCTTTGAATCACTTCCGACAAGAATGGAATTTTAATCCTTTATTTATAAAGAACCGATAATAGGAAACAAAGACATAAAAAAATCACTTAAAAGTTAACAATAAAATATAATGATCAGAAATTTCGGAAAGTTTAAAATTGTTACTATGTAAACAAGCAATATCAGATGCCTTGCATAAACCCAGTGCTGTACAGTGCTACTGCATCGAGGCAAAAATATTTTCGTCTCTGGTTTACGTAGAAAGTTTTTACACGGAGTGCAACTGCTTTCCCCCTGTGACGTCGTCCCCCGGTCGCAGCGCCAACTGTGATGTTCTATCCTGATCTACCACGGCGCCAGTTGTGATGTGGCCGTTCCAGGGTCCTATCCCGGCCACGACACCAGTTGTGACGTCCCTAAACAGCACCAATTGTGACGTCTTCGCCGCGTCGCCAGCTGTTCGCTCCTCGCTGCTCCGTCCGGGTGTCGCTGCTCCAAACGTGACGTTCGCCTGTCGCGTCAGTCGTGTTGTCTCGTACTGTGACGACCAACTGGCTTGGTATCGGTCGCGGCACCCAAATGTGACGTTCTAACCTTTTAGTGATTCGGATGGGAATCTGGTTAGATTTGATATCAGCCTCGCCGTTCCCAACTCGCTACCAACGCCTGGTTCCAAGGTAACTGCACTGATCTCCAGTCTGCCTACCCACGTTGTGAATTGATCTTAGACAGATGAGATCAAACAGGGGTTGGAGCCGTAATGCAAATTGAGTGATAACACACAAATATGCACAAAAGAAAATAAAATGAAAACTCAAAAATTTCAAAGTATCAAAGAAAAAGGTAACAAACTTTATGTCTAGTTGTTCGATACATAGGACTGCATCTATCTCCCGACCCGTTCTGTGGATTGTGACAAACGCTTTCGCTAGGCAAGTTTTAACGCTTCAAGTTGTCTGCTCTCCAAGAAATTTGTGTTTCGGTGTGTCTTTGGACGAAAGTCGAAAAACTTATTTCTGTGGTCTGGTTCTAAGTCGCTCTTCAAAATAATTGTTCTTGGTTGAAGAGGAGTCCAAAATTTTGCGTGAATCTTGGTCAGCTATCTTGATCTATCATCTCTGCCGCCAGGGCCGAACTAACTGTCTTCTGCCCGTCAGGGTCCGAACAAACTCTTCTGCCCGTCAGGGTCCAAACGAACTCTCTTCTGCCCGCCAGGGTCCGAACGAACTTTGGATACTCATCTCTGCCGCCAGTGCCTGAACTACTGGACACTCATCCCTGCCGTCGGGGCGCGAACTACTACTGGACACTCATCTCAGCCGTCAGGGCTCGAACTACTGGACACTCATCTCTGCCGTCAGGGACTGAACTGATTTCTGCCTGTTGGGTCCTCGTTTTTATTGACGCCGTCAAAAACCGGGTTGGGTCTGTTGGCGTCGGGGAGTTCCTTGATAATTCTAAATACATATCCACCTCTTTTATTTCTGGTTAGGCATTTTCCACTCTTTTCCATTTTTGGTAACTTTTTTTCACTCCCACTTTCTCACCATGCTCCTGAGGGGCGTGAACTGCCCGCCCCACTTCTTCGTAGCGGCTTCTCATACTTATACTATGGATGGGGGCGTCGACAGTCTTCTTCGTGCGTCACGTGATCACTCTCGGCCAATGAGTTCTTGGTCGGGTATCTTTCCTCCTCCTTCGTGCGTCATGTGATCACCACTTGACCAATGACGTCTTAGTCGGGCGTGAACAACCCGCGGCTTTGTTTTGGAAAAGAAATACCTTGCTTAACTAAAAAAAATTAATTAAATGGCCGTCATCATGAACGGATAATATGACAACTCTTTGTTCAACACGTGGCGTTTGTCAAGCAGTTTATCGCTAATTCATCAGACGGCTGGTTTTTCCGACATGGTCTCAGAAAAGAATTTTCTCCAAGTTTTCAGTCAGTCTGACGTCTCCGAGGGAGAAATAAAAACATTTCTTATTCCATTCATTTTCCTTCGGTTCATGTGTCTGATAACAAAATTTTATTATCGCAGGGCAAAAGTTTGTTTTGTCGAAAAGAGCTTAACTAGCGAAACGGCTTGTGTGGGATTTTAATTTTCCATATCCAGCTAAGGTTCCAAGCTACACCTGTGTTTTGTCAATTATCAAAATCTAACGTTTTCAAGTGGACTTTCTTTGGCGAACATTTCTTGATAACACAATTCCATTCGAGCGGCCAGTAGGAAAATCGGTCAATGATTATTCGCCGGTGGCCTGTGTTTTTTGATAGTAAGATGCCTTCTCGTACCAATAGTTTAGATAACACTTCCCTACCCACTCAATCTCATTGTCATTGTAATGATACTCCTTTTGGCATTTGCCACTTATCCAAAATAACCCTTTTTTTTTACCTCTTAAGCCGTGTGTGTGTGTTCGCCTATGATCCGTCTCGCATTACTTTTTCCTTCCTTTCTTCTTTTATTTCCTTTTCCCTTTTTGCCTTTCTTTCTCTGCTTGGATGCATGTTGCCACACCCCACACCGGAGCCGGAAATGAAAATATGATTCCAAAGATGTCCTTCTCCTAAATTAGGTTGCCAACAAAGTTATTAAGCCCCGTCCAACCTGCTATTTAATTCATAGCTGATCCATAGCTTTACAAATGTATTTGGACGAAAGTGGAGGCTACGTCCTCGGTTGCAATTTGAACCTGGCACTTTAACCTCAATTACGGGGCCAATAACCGCCATCCGCACATCCACAAATATAAAGAAGAATTTATCTATGTATGCATTTTCCATAAAGAATGTGAGAAGAACATTCATATTTTGTTTCCAAGACGAGTGATTGTCAATATATTTTCTTATTTCCAACTCTTGGTCTTGTCTTGGTTGATATAGACATTAATATGTACTAAAAGTTTCGACCAAGTACACGTTGATCATCAGATTTTCACTATTTGTTTGAGATGGGATATCTGTTGTTATTTCTTCGTTGGTTGTTTGTATTTGTCTGTTTCTGCTATACCAGACTTTACTACCAGAACTCAACGGCTACTAGATATCAATAACCAACTCCTATATTCAATAAACCATTGCCCTGAATTAGTGGTTTCTTTTTGGATACTTTTTTATTCAAGGTCAGATTATTTTGGCATTCGCTTATGAATGACGCTTTGCAGAAACAAAGCTAGCAATCCCCGTCTACTCTGCTATTTAACCCATAGGTGGAAGAAGAAGAAATACATTCATACATTTCCGTAAAGAATTTGCGCATTTCATGATTTATTATTTCGTTTCTGAGATGAGTATTTTTTTTCTTGATGTTTAGCGGCATATCAACCTCAATAGGTTATTTAATGCAGAAATTAAAATATTTTTGACACAATATTATTTTATTTTTCGTTTTTTTTTAAATAGTAATGGTTTAGTTATGTACGTCTTGCTCATTAACCCATCGTTTGAGTGAAGTGGGGAATTCATACATTTCCCAACTGTATTTGAACGTGAGTCACTATAACGAACCGAACGAGAATTGGAACTCGGCTCTCCGATCAACAATTCCAAGCCATAATCCATTACACCAGCCGCACATCCAAACTTACAATATCTGGTATTCCCAAGCGGTCAAGAATCTATGTACTGGCCAGTCTCGATAGTACGAGAACCGGTTTTTTAACGGGATATAAGCTCGAGATTAGTAATTGTCTGTATATTTGTATTATATCGATCTATTGTTCGGATCTTGCTCGAGGAGACGTTATTATGGCCGTAATAATTGTAAATAATACAAAAATATATATATATATATATATATATATATATATATATATATATATATATATATATGGTTTAAATATATATTTTAAAACATCTTGAATTGTATCGTAAATAGATTAATCCGTAACCTTTATTGCGAACAAACAGCTTGTTTACGGAAGGAGAAAATGTTGAATTAAGACACACAAGGATATAAGGCGAGGTTCCTTTTTCTAAGGATATAAAGCGAGGTTCCTTTTTCTCAGCGGCTTCATTCAACCTGCCCAACAGGACGATATCAATAGAACTAAACAACTAGCGGGGTTAAATATTTTCTTCGATAATAATCACAACATTGATTATTCAGATGATATTGGGTTGACAGACTTAGAAAGCAGAAATACGTACATTTTAGTCGAGAACACACAAGAAGAACATACTAATTATTAGTTATAAGAAAGGAGAATTCATGGTTATCAGCAAAACAGACTGTCCTATTTCTGAGGATAATGAACTAGTCATGCCAAGTAATGATGACAAAACATGCTGACTAATTGTGTGCACGAGGCATAATCTTTAATAATTAACATAAGTTATTTCACTCTAATATTTTTCCTACTCTCGCGCAGCGTCTGTGGGAAATGAAGACCTTAAATTCTTGGTGCGGTGTTTGAAACACTACCAAACTTCACACTGGGCTGGTGTATATTTTTATCTATCTTTCTATCTATCTATCTATCTATCTATCTATCTATGTCAGTCTGTTTCTATCTATCTGTCTATCCATGTATCTATTTCAGTCTGTTTTATATATATATATATATATATATATATATATATATATATATATATTTCACTATGTTCATATGTATCGCAGTCTATTAATATCTATCTATCTATCTATCTATCTTTCCATCTATCTATGTATCTATCTACGTCAGTCTGTTTCTGTCTGTCAGTCTATCCATCTATCTATCAATCTATCTATCAATATATATATATATATATATATATATATATATATATATATATATATATAAACAAACTGAAATATATATATATATATATTTATATATATATTTCTGTCTGTTCATATGCATCGCAGTCTATTAATACCTATCTATCTATCTATCTATCTATCTATCTATCTATCTATCTATCTATCTATGTCAGTCTGTTTCTGTCTGTCAGTCTATCCATCTATCTATTTCAGTCTGTTTATATATATATATATATATATATATATATATATATATATATATATATATATATATATATATACAAATAGATATACAATATATATATATATATATATATATATATATATATATTTCAGTTTGTTCATATGTATCGTAGTCTATACATATCTATCTATCTATCTATCTATCTCCGGCTTGTGATTGTACATACGGCAACTGGAATTCCACCTGCACCGGGTTTCACTTGATGAGCTAGTATGATATTGAAGGCAAATTCAAACTTAAAAAACTGCAAGTTCTACGTACAGGCACGTCAAAATCAAGCAGGTGCATAATTTTCACTGTGAGTTATTGTATCAGATGATGTGATATTGTAATGCTATCCAGAAATTAAGCAAAATACAAAGAGACATGTAAAAGTGCTACGACCATATAAAAGAGTACTAAAGTGTGATGTAATGTGCAATCACCAATATGGGACTGAATTCTGAATAATTTCATCGAAGATAAAGATTTGTTTTTAAGACAATTCAGCCTTAGTAAGGCGGGAGTGTCATTAAGACGAAAGGTGTTGCAGAGGATTGAGAACAAGAGCAAAGCGGTGCGTTTGAGGAAAGGACTCAGAGGAGGAGAGGGAACAAGCTCAGGGTGTCAGATGTCGATGTCACATGTCGATTGACATTACACTTGATTATTTGAAGATTATAATCATCGGGGAAGCAAATAAGGTGAAGGGATTTCCACAGACGCGAAGTGCGGAAGAGGAAGCTTTTTGAGAAGAAAAGACGGTTACATATAACCGTTTTGACATTGAAAGGGTAAGACCAAGATGCCAATAGACAATTACCAACAAAAGCTCAAAGTATTTTTTCACTAAGAATATAACTGACGAGGGAGTTATAAGTTTACTACGAAATACAAAAGAACTTATGCTGCTGACACAATAAGGAAAGAACACTTGGAGAATTTAAAACTCCCAAGGCACAATAAAAAATATAGTAATGGAGGAAACAGGACCTTAACAAGTTTGAATGAATGATTGACAAAACAAAGACAAACATGTGTAATAAAGAACCAAGAGTTCCAGGAAGGCGTGAAGAGTCATGTTTTCCACACCCTGTAAGAGGATTAATAAATAATCTATATAACTACGTTCGAACAATTTCTGGTCAAACAATGTGGCAACGTCACATTCGTTTTTAATTCTTCAATTCGTTTTTAATTCTTCTTGAATGTTACTTATTGCCTTATTTCTTTTTTTCTAAGGGCTGTTGATTATGAGGTGGACACGAGCATTATCATAAAGCCCACACAAATTAGAATGAAATAATACTATTTCTACTACTACAACTATTACTACAACTACTACTACTACTACTACTACTACTAATAATAATAATAATAATAAAGGAGGGTTTAAGAGATTTCCCTTTTTATTTCAATTAATTTTTTATAAGAATCCGTGTTTGTAAAACTTCGAAGGAATTATTTAGGAATAATTAAAGAATACTTACTCTGATGAATGTAGGTTCTTTACTGAAACATGTATAAACATCTAATACAGAAAAAAAAGAGTCACAAGACAACGTTTTCTCATATATAATGCATTGTTATGTGTGTATTTCATATATTTACAGGCAGAGTACATTTTTGAATGTTAGTATATCCCAGATATACTAATCCATATTCTGGATCTTGGAAAACAGATAGAACCGAGATATTCCTTGATTGAAAAGAGACAATACCATTATGTATTTCTCTCTCTCTCACTCTCACTCTACATATATATATATGCTTACGGTCAAATCACGCTGAAACACCGGTTCTCGTTCGATCACCGATGTTAAGCATCGTAGAGCCAGGTCAGTACTTAGATGGGGGACCGCTTGGGAACACCTGGTACTGTAAGCCCCCAAAGTCCAACCCTTACCTCATAGTCGGTGGGTGGGGGGTGTAAACGGTAGTGTCAGAGCTATGCCGCCCGGAACTTCGTTCCTGGTAGAGCCACCCAAGGCGGACAGGTCTGACACACACGCCGGCTAACAAGGGCTCTGGTGAAAATCCAAGGAGCGTCTGCATCGGTAACCGGCTGCTTCTGGTCGTTCCTGCCTCTGCATCTGTGGGAACCCCGCGGCAAGCAAGAACGTTATTCGAGTAGGCCTGGGTACCCTACTTCTGTAATTTATCACAAGAATCTTATTCTCATAACAGGAAGAAGCCGGCTCAATCCGCCCAGGGTGAATGCCGCATCAGTAGAGTAGTCGTATATATATATATATATATATATATATATATATATATATATATATATAAAGTGTGTGGTAGTGTCTGCTCAAGAAGACATTTAAAATAACTTAGACCTATATTTTAAAATGTTAACATCTAGTTTATATAATGAAAATTACTTTACTTGGGGGTAAATGGTTGCTTGATACTTAATATGCTGTGTTATAATAAATAGATTGAGCTCTCTTTGATGATCAGTTTTAATATTTTATATTACAAGGCACTCTTGGATTATATACTAGCGGATTATTATATATATATATATATATATATATATATATTACTGAGTTCTTATTGAATACTATGGAACTTTTCCATTTAATACTCTTTCTTTCGATTTTTTCCTGTTTTCTCACGTTTTCTTTGTTTTTTCTTTCTAAATTGTTGAAAAAAAAAAAAAAACAATACTTGGTGTTTTGCCGAGCGCTTGCGGTTGTCGTCAACTGTCAAAAATCTCAAGGACTGGGTCGTTTTTCAACAACTTAGACCCAAAAACAAACTTGCGAGGAAGCAAGAATAAATCGATAGAAATATGGTTAAGCGGAAAAGTTCCACAATCTTAAATAATAACACATTCAGTAATATATATATATATATATATATATATATATATATATATATATATATATATATATATATGTGTGTGTGTGTGTGTGTGTGAATTAAATAAAGAAGTATGACCAACTATACGACTACGTTCATATGCAGACTTGTAAATAAATATTTATTTATTTTTATGATGCAATCATGACAATGATCCGTGATGTGTAACAATGCTACAACGTATATAATTAACGATAGACATTACTTACGTCAGTCATACAACTTAAAATTTCATGTTTGTAGAATTGTCTATTAGTGTCTGATGATTTTACAGACATGCATCTCGAGTCGTACAACTGACAAGTAAATGTATAGTTAATTATATATATATATATATATATGTGTGTGTGTGTGTGTGTGTGTGTGTGTGTTTGTGTGTGTGTATGTGTGTGTTTAATTATATAGATAGATAGATAGATAGATAGATAGATAGATAGATAGATAGATAGATAGATTTGATTATAAACTATTCTTATAACATACCCATTCTCTCTCTTCGTTTATATCCAATACTATTTCCCATTCAGTCAAAACATTTGGAAAGATGACATCAATGTTGGCTATTTTGCATATGTTTTATTTATTCTAATCACGTACTTTTACCAATAGTATAATAAAACCTCCATGTCAAATCAAACAATTTAAAACAAATAATTATTTTAGCTTGGAATATTCTGTAATATTAAACCCATAAACTAGACGACATTGTCATACATCAGGATTACCTACACACTATAACCCAACGCTACACATTCCAAGGAACGTTTATGCATATTTTTCTGAATGGAAACAAACACCTGTGGAATGTTTTACTATATTCTGTACAGAAAAGCGTGTGCGCGAAACGATAGTTGTACGTAATTTACGGCATGCTCAGGTACAGACTGAATTTCGTGGCGTCTCCTCTGGTATTCAACAGCAATGTTTGGTCAAGACGATGGAAGAATAGGACTTGTATGGTTTGAGTTAAGGGTTTTCTTTCTCATAGCCTGACTACCACAGTAGACAAGATGGTATTATCTTCTCTGATATTTAACCCATAGCTGGGGGAAACAAGAACTCTGTCATTTTCAATGGTATTCGAGCGTCAAATTATTGATTACGATACCAAAACTATTATTTCTCGCTCATCAACGCTGTATAATTACTGGGAAGACAAATCAACCTAGACTTTCTAACGGGTGTCACATATTTGATGTTAGATTTCTAGCAAGTAGTTTCAGTAACCTTGTACCTGGCGGCTCTTTTCTTGGACGGTGGCGTTTAATCTGTTTACAGAATGTCGTATTATATTCCACAGATGTTTGCTTTTATTCGGTAAAATAAGCTGTTGTCAAATGTCCAGGTGAGGGAAAGAGAAGTTCTTAGAAAGATAAATCAATAAAAATTGTCCTTGTTCTACAAACGGTCAGTATTTATTGTGCGTGTGTAGTTTTGTCTTTTTAAAGAATTCTCATTATGTAATGAACGTTTCTAGCCAATTGTTCGAAATCCCAGATTCCCAGCAGAAAGTGCTCAGCAACCGCCCCCCGACCCATGTTGAGCCGAACCCAAGTCTACTGACCTTGGTTATATTGATCAGTTCAAGAAAATCAATCTTATCTTTTGTGGCGTCGGAGAGGCCAGTAAAAGGCTTGTGTGATTTAGATTCTAAGCAATATCTTTTTAAGTCTGCTGTTTGATCTGTCCAATACTGAATTCGTTAGCGAATGGATAAGCATCTTTACTGAACGTCATTTCCCAAACACAGGACGTAGTTACGCATGTGTTAAGGAGAGTGTTTATTGCATTGAGTGTACTGAGTTTGTGTGTGCGCGATAATGTTCCTGGGTGTGTGAGCATGCGTGTGATTCTATGCTTTTACGTGCATGTCTGTGTAGGTCGCTTTGTGAGAGATGGACGTATGTGTGAGAAAATAAAGAGCTTACTTCTGCGTGTGTGCATGGTTTAATTTTCAGATGAAATGAAATCAATGAATCCACAACATTCTATTTTTTAAATATTTATTTTATTTTATGCATTTATTTATTTCTATTTTTGTATTTGTTTTTTTTTCTCAAACAGGCAATCTAAATACGTCTCTCTGTATTGCCTATAAATATTCTTTATGTCTGAATATGTTTGTATGTAAGTATAGCGTTTGCTTTCATTTATATTTCTTCTATGTGTTGCATCCCTTCAGGAAATAAACGATCATGGGTTTCCACATCTTCCTATCTGATATTCCTCTTAGCAGTTTTACTCACTTTGTTAAGCTTTCCACCCAGTATCGTTATCCATTTCCACAATATGGCCAAAAATGTGATTCGCTGATTTCCTCTATCTATCTTGTTTCAATATTCAGGGTGAAGTTTCAGTT